AAGGCTTGTCCTGGCCTACCTTGGCCAGGACGCCGCACGGGTTTCTTCCGCTGTAGAACTACCCCCATGACAACTAGGCCTAAATACAAAGTACTGCCGATGTGTAAAATTTGACAGAAAATAAATGACAAATAGAAAGTTGAGGGTAATCTCTTAACAAACAATTTCCTCGAATGGCCGGACCACAATCCACCTTTTCCAAAGAAAAGGCCAAATAATACTAACGTCTTTGAAATGGCATTTAAACGTCTTTAGTACATGGTTTCTGAACAGAAAGCATGGTCTGTTCCAAACTTTCAATCCAATCAGATTATAGGCAATTTTTATTCATCTAGGCAGATTTAAAATTAGCTATTTGGGTAAATGAAGCAAATTAATTTAGTGTAATTTAACTTAATTGATTAAATATGGTAAATTAATTAATTATTAATTTAATTAATCTAATTAAATACTTAAATTACATTAATTATCAAATTAAAAAATCATTTTATAATTACAATTAATAACTTTAAAATAATTAATAAAATCTTAAAAAATACACTTAAGTAGAATTAAATAACTTAACATATGATATGCGTATACTATTGGAGGGGTTGGGGGGAGGGATGGGAGAGAGTGATTGAATTCTTGGAGGGAGAGAGTGACAAAAGAGAAAATGTTTTAAAACATTAGTTTGCTTTTGTTCCATGGAATTCGATTGAAATGTTAAAAAGATTTAGATGAAAAGGCCTGGTTTGGCCCAAAAATTCTAGGCTTGGTCCTAAGTTTTGTGTTTAGACTTACCCTACAAATTTTTAGTCCAAGTTTTGGCCCAATACTTTAGCCTAGCTTGATCTCACATTAGGCTCACAAATTCCCAAGTCAAACTTGGGCCCAACCAACCTAAACTCAAAATTCAAGGCTTGGGCCTAGGTTTTTTGTTCAAGCCTGGCCTTGGGCTTGAGAGTGTGCATTAGGCCCATAAGTTTCCAAATTGGGTTTGTTTCCAATACTTCAATCCCAGCTTGGGGCTTGCCTAGATTAAACAGAATTAGAAGACTTAATTAATTAATCAATTAATTGAAAAAATATATTAAACATCCATTATCTTGTAAAAGTTCATTGAGAGAGTGATTGAAGATAAATGAAAATTTGAAAATATAGATAAATGAAAAATTAAAAATAGTATTATAGTGGGAGTGGATAGAGAGATTGGGTTGTCAATGGGTCGAGTCCAAGTAGAACCAAAATCAACCCAACAAGAACTAGTAAAGACTTAAGAATTGAATCAAACTTAATAGGGTTTATAATTTTAGACTTAGAACCAAATTGATCAGTTCTCGAGTCAATTAGATCTAACCCGATAGACCCAATTATAATAAACCTATTGAAAATAGGTTTATTATATATATATATATATTATTAATTTATTAGGATAAATTATATATAGGTACCATATACTTTGTGGGAGTGACAAATAGGTACCTAAAACTTTTAATTACAACACTTGAGTGCCCTAAACTCTACACTTGGATCCATATGTTAGGATTCCGTCAGTTAAATATTACATAATATCAAAACTACCCTTCTCATTCTACTACCACTAACCCGGGATGAATTGTTCCGTCCCGTGTTGAGGAAGGAACACTTTGTAGACAGTCCACCACCTATCGTCACTTCTTCGATGAAACTACAGATTAAAGTCATCGACCCAACAAGGCTAACCACCATATTCAACCACTTTTATCCTCTCGGACCCATCTTGAGTCTTGAAAATATAGATACCTGTAATAAGCTCTTCAACCTCCCCGTCTCGTCCTTTCTTCGCAGACAAAGCCACAACCATCCAAACCCCAGAAGGAGAAATGGCAGGACCGTAGTCGAACACACCATAAGGCATCAACCGCCCAGTCTCCCACCCATCATCACTTCTTCGATGAAAATACAGAGTAAAGTCATCGGCACAACCAAAGTTAGATTCTTGGTTGTTTTATTTTTTGCTACTTCCGCTGCACTACTCTGTTCTCGAGGTTGCGCGTCAAAGAAATACCATCTCCTTTGATTCAGTTCTTTCACACTGGATTTTATCTGTTAGTTGGATAGGCTTCATCTGTTTTTTCCCTTTTGCATGCATATATAACACGAGTTGTATCCCCTATGAAATTACAACTATTTTCTTTATTCTACTGCAATCATCTCCTATATAGTTCCTAATTTTGCTTTGCTATATATGAAATGAAATGGGCAAGGCAGGCTTCCACCTGCCTCACCACCACCACCACCACCTCCTCCTCCTCCATCGCTTCCACCTGTAATCTCACTCAACTGCGCACCTACAAGGCCGCCACTTGTAACATCGGATGATTGTGACGCTGTAGGCTTGACCAGCACCAGTGACTCCTTGCGATTTATTACCCTTATCAGTGAAGTGCTTTTAATCAGTGCTGTTTTGGACATTTTATTTTAATAATTTAAAAATTATATGGGCATTTCAATAATTTTATCATACATAGAAACATGGAATAATGGACCCTAGTGTCTATTATTCAAGTGTTACAATTGAAAATTCAAGTACCAATCTGTCACTCAAAGTATAAGGTATCTGTAATTTACCCTAATAAGAATTGAGACAATATATTAAGAACCAAAACTAAATTCATCCAATCAGTTTGTGTCCATCAGGTCCGATCCAATCCTTTGACAACCCTAAAATGAGAGAGGTAATAAATGAAAAATGTGGCAATATTGCTTTCAATGACATTTTTGTAGATAACAAATGTAATTATATGATATGCACAATTAAAAAAGTCAATGATTGTTTTATGGTACTTAAAGGTTATAAATAATATCAATTTTATAATTAGTAGAAAATTTAAAAAGACAAATAATGACATTCTTGTAATTATAAAATGCTCATGAACATCACACCAACCATTTGTAACGAAATACTAAAATGTTTCATTAAAGCCCATATAACCTTCACGCTAGGATTCCATTTCAAACAAATTGGGCACTTCATCTGTACTCATTTTGCTTTTTATACTTTTTTTCTGCCTTGCAGCTCTAATGGGTTTGAAGAGGATAAAAGGGAATTCACAACTGTGCCCCACAGAATGCACCCCACAGAACAAACATCTCCCAATGACAAGTAGGAGATGTTCCCAATGCACGCTAAGATGTGCATGCGGTGTGCAGATTAGACAAAAGTAGTAGTAGAGTACTAGGGTATACAGCCTTCCCTTATGCATGTGAGGGTTTCAATTCAATACATCGCTGTACCAAAAGAAAAAAAAAAATCAATACATCAGAGAGAGAATTTGAGAATTTTGGAGATGATGGAAAGAGAAAGCATTATGCAATGTTATACTTGTACTGTTCTCACGCACCCGGAATTCAGTACTTGTATTCCTCATGCAAAATTAACCTGTTTAAAGTCGTATACTATATATACTATATATACTTCCGATGCAGCTATTAACCTGTTTAAAGTCGTCAACTCTTGTCTACCGCCAATATCTTCAATAGCAAGCCCTAATTCGCTGAATTTAGACATGACAAAATTATTGCGTAAAGCTAACTACTCTGCGCAGTAATCTCCTTGATGCCTCATTGTCTTCATCTCTCTATATGTATCTCTCAACCTGGTAATAAAGACTGGTCCTTTCCATATCCTTATACCAACTTCTCACTTTCTTAGAACTTCAATCCTTCGTAATCACTACGTTGCATGTTACCATTTCAGCTCTTGACCTTAACCAATGCCTGGAAGCCTGGACTTTGGTCACAATAAACTGTCCATGATTCCCCATTGCAGTCACCATGAACTTTTTGTTGTTTCACCGGAGAACAACTTTCATTAGGATCCACAGATATAAAGATTCCCCAAATGGAACAACCTGAGACAACATTTAACAGAGAGTAAAATGGAAGTTAGATTCTCCAACATACATGGTTAACAGAGTAATATGTATATATGGAAGCTAGATTTTCCAAAACACGTGATTTTCACATGCATACAATTCCTACGGCTTAATGCTGCCAACTATTCAAACCCACTCTTCATCCTCTTTGTCCTGCATGGACTGCTTAGCTTTTCTTCTTGGTCTTCATCTATGAAGTTCTGATCTGATACCTCTGCAACAGTGGAAATAGTCCAATCATTTCGGTACAGGAAAAAGAAAAAAAAATTAAGCAACAAATTACCACAAATAAAGAGCAATGTAAAACCATTACTCGCTATACTTGTATGCCCAATATGGATGAAAAACCTTAATGTTTTGGTTACTATAGGAGAGCAGATCGATTAAGGAATATCTAGTCTGTAGCATGGTGCACTAACTGCCCTACTGTAGGTAACCCTATTTTGGGACATATAATCTGCCGTTTGGGAGCTGATCCAGTATAGAACCTCACTCCAACAAATATAGGAATACATTTTAGATATCCCAGGACCATACGGGAAAGTCTCCACCTTCTCTAATTTCTTTCCATGAAAATGCTAGGAATCCAATAACCATACAAAACATGGATTAATAAGATCGAATAGCTTTGATGAGACAATAAAGAAGAAAGTAATATACTAGTGGAAAAGAAGTTTCATCGCACCGTTGAACTTTAGTCAATCCCTCAGTATCGATATCACAAAACTTACAGACTGCTCGTAATCTATTGATATCACTGCACAAATGCTTTAGATGTGCTCTGGACCTATGAGATAAGGCTGGCACTTGAGGACCTCTCTGCTCCAACACTGGTTCTGCTCCACCTCCCACTTGGATCAAAGATAATTCATGACTGAAAACCATGCTGATGGGTGACATTTACCATCCACTGAGAAGATAAAAACACATCTATTTTAACCCTGATGGAAAAGGTCAACATCGGGTGCTAGTGTGTAGGTAGGTTTGACCCCTTGCATTGATTTCTTAGTTTTGTGTTGTCATTCAAGTGGTGTACCAATTGAGTGCTCCAAATGCATGCATACACATCCAATTAATTGTAGGGGCCTTGTAAATTTTTCTTGTCCACACAGAAAATGCCTTTTCCTTCCCTTTGTTACCGTGTAGCAAACCATGAAACATGGGGAGTTTTTTCTATAACTGGTACCATGCAGTAGATAACTAGATGTGGTAATTTGGATCTGCAACCGAGCCAAAGGTGCGCCACATTAAATCTAAGTTTTATCTATTAGAGTTTTTGAGCTAAAAGAAATCTAACAGGAGACTAGAGTGAAGTCCCGTTTATTCTAGGTTTCCCATCTCAAAGCTATAATGCTAGGGGGTCCAATCAACAGAAATAAATGACTATAAACGAACTATGGCTCTATTTGTTAGCCAAATCTTAAGCAAGAGGAAGAACCGAGGGAGAGATGGACAAAGCTATTTCCCACCAGCATTAGCCAATATGAAAGAGGGTGTAACCCACCCTAAACCATGAAAGACCTTTGCAATGACTTCTTTGCAGCTTGAATCAGTAAATAATTTTTGTATTTTTACCAAAAAAAGAATCAGTAAATAATAAAATGAAATATTGTGCTTACACAAATATATGGGCATGTTTAACAATTCTATTAACCAACATTAAGAAGGGTGGTTGTCTAAAACGCCCTCATGAAAAAAATAAATAAATGATCACTGAGAATGAAAAGTGACATACAAAAACACCTAGAGATTAGAGAATACTTGATTTTAAACATAGTTCGTATGTTATCCTTATAGTGATAAAAAAAGCAACTATCCTCATTCCACTGGGCTATTCCAAAGAAAATTTATTAGCAGAGAACGGGAAGGGTCTTCCAATAAGGTAATGAATGTATAAAGAAAAAGGGACCTGATGTGACAATAAACAGAAAACAAATAGAGATTAGAGAAAGTAAACTTTGGATAAATTGGAAATAGACAAGGTAGGATACCTAAAGGCTTCTTGCTTCAGAACAAAGTTAAACAGACATACAATAGACATGAATTACCACTGATACAGAAACAATTGTCCAAAGAAGTTTCAATTACAGCATCAGATGAACTTATAAAAATGGTAAATGGTCCAGATAGAGATCTTGTTACAGTTACAGGAAGAACCCTAGGCTTGAAAATTCCAGGTTGCAGCTAAAATGGCTGGAATTTAGCACCAAAAAATGCATTATAAATGTTTACACAGGAAAAGTGGTCTTGCTCATTTCATATGCTAAAATAGCTAGTTAGGTTGTGTTACCCCTTGCTTTTCTTGTTTAAAAAATATCCGTTTCAGTAAAAGCTACTTAGGATTTTCATCATGAAGAGTCTGCAACTAATTCAATAAATGAAGATAAAATCCAGTGAAATTTAAAAAAAAAAGGAAAAAAATCCAGTGAAGAGGGCATTATAAATTTTTATAATTTTTATTTTTAGCTTTGGTGGTTTGAAGTCAGTCCCATAGTTTCTTTCACTTCTATTTTTAGGGAAATTTCCTGATTAGTACCCTGTACTTTGGGTCTAGTGCCACTTTGGTCCCTGAACTTTAAAACGTGACAATCTAGTACCTGCCATTAACAAACCGTCAGTCAGCATGCAAAAAGATGCAATTACCCTTTGGCTTTTCAACACAGGTGATTGAACGATTTAGTAACTCTCCATTGAAGAACTTAGCAAGAAGAACACCTTGACAGCTGGTCATGTGTAGTGAAGTAGGGGTTTGATGGTGAAATTCTTGGACAACGATGCCGGAAACGCCTCTAGTTTTGCTTGGACATTCAGGGGTTCAGCTGCAGATGACAACGATGCTGTCGAGATTCCAAGTGGACAGGAGAAAACTCAAAAAGTTGGGATGGCAATATGGACGTGGGCAGGGAAGACAGTGGGCTGCACTTCAATTGGAAGCTAAAGATCAATGGGGACTGGTGGTTTAGCACAGTTAGAAGGAGGCATTGACAATTGCTCCATGGGTTCTTTCAGCAGGGGGTGCTATGTTGAATATTTGCTTGCAACGTCATGGCGGCACCAACAGTTGTGTGGATTGGGTTGCAGAAGCGGATTCGATTGCAAAGGAATGATTGGGAAGGAGAATGGGGGGAGAGAAAGAAGAGGATGGGTTCAATTCAGAGAAGAAGAAGATGGAAAGTGGAGGGTTAGAGAGTATCAGTTTGGGGGGAATGAGAGGAGGGATTTTCAGATCTGGTTTGCTGGACGGTAATGACAGTGAAGAAGAGAATGAATAAGAGGAAGAGAGAGAGAGAGAGAGGAGCTGAGATGGATGGAGGAGGGAGGTTGCTACCGCCACTGATTTGAGTTGCAGTGGCAGTGGAGGAACAGGGGTGCCAAGAAGAAAAGAAAAAAAATGAAAAATGAAAAGGAAGGAGGGAAGGAGAGGGAAAGAAGATGGGAGAATGAGAGAGAGAGAGAGGGGGGGGGGAGCCGGAATGGATGGAGGAGGAAGGTTGCTACCACCACTGGTTCGAGTTGCAGCGGCGGTGGTGAAACAGGGGTGCCAAGAAGAAAAGAAAAAGAAAAAAGAAAAGGAGGGAAGGAGATGGAAAGAGGATGGGAGAATGAGAGAGAGAGAGAGAGAGAGAAAGGAAAAAAAATTGAGAGTGAGGGAGTTCACTGCTTTTGTTCGCTGCTGCTCTGTGTTGTGTCTCCTTCATTCGTTCAACCCAAATTGAAGAGAAAAAGAACCCTTTCCCTTTCTTTTAACGTTTAAAAGAAAAGGTTAAAATGGTCCAACTAATATCATAAAGGGTAGTTTTGCCATTTTTAAATTATTTAAACCGCACATTATGTCACGTGATGGCCTTGACTGACGGTCTGTTAATGGCAGGTACTGGATTGTTGTGTTTTGAAAGTTTGGGTACTGGATTGTCATGTTTTAAAGTTCGGGGACAAAAGTGGCACTAGATCCAAAGTACAGGGTACTAATTGGGAATTTTCCCTTATTTTTATGATATGCTTTTTAGTTTCCTTCATTTATTTCCTTTTTTAATTAGCACAAATTTGGTGTAATAGCTAACAGGTCAAACCAAAGGCATGGGTGGAGCCAGGAATGTTTCCTTCTTTCTTCTTTTGGGGATTTTTTTAGCAGAGGATAGTAATTATATCAAATTATAAAATTCTATTAAGAGCTTATACATTTTTATTCGCTTAACTCATCATTCATTTCTACTATGCTTTCTCCTCATTTTTAAATCCAAATAGAATATGTAATAAGATCTATAAATTAGCTTTCCCTTTCAAATTCAAGGCCTTACAAGAAAAAGTGTAGTGAAGATGGCTATATAGAAAAAGATAAGAGGATAGAAACTGAAGTTGTACATAACATACAAAGGACTTGCAAAACACATTATTAGAAATACTGATATCATGAATGTGATAATAAATAAAATCTAAGACGATTTTGTAAGATCTATGAAATTAAGAAGTCTCAATTAGATATACTAAAAGAAAATAAAAGGGATGCATGTTAAACATATTGCTATAAAAGAAATCATCTTATTTTTTAGGGTAAGAATATAAAAAACCACCCTGAGGTTTTGACAATCATAAAGGCCTCTCCTCAGGTTTCATTTTAACAAAAACTTCCCCTGTAGTTTTGAGAAAAAAAAAACTGCAGTTACCTCCCTTCCATCATTGTCCTAGATGGAAAATGTTGAACTAATGCATTATTTTTTTGAAAATACCCATTTTGACCTTATGTCTATCAATTTAGATGAGGATTTACTAAAATACCCCCAAAAGAACTTTGAACTAAAAAATTTCCTAGGGTCAAATTGAAAAGAGTAAAGTAACTTTACTATGTAAACTCATCAGGTCGAGTGAAGTCCAGAAGGGCAAATCTGGTATTTTTAATTATGTTAAAAGATGCTCTAACAAGTACTAGGGCAACTTAGTAACTTCCAAGTCTGTGTTACTGGGACAATGATGGAAGGGAGGTAAATGTGGGTTTTTTCAAACTACAAGGGAGGTTTTTGTTAAAGTGAAACTTCAAGGGAGGTTTTTATATTTTACCCTATTATTTATGGAGAATTGGAGAAAGGCCTAAAATTTTTATTCAGTAAAAATACTATTAGAAATGGTTTAGATTGGTTATAAAGTTTTTTTTTTTTTGAGTATGCAAGTGGGTCAGCCTGTTCTTCTTTGAGAGAGAAAATAGTGGAATGATTTGATTACTCAACGTTTTTTGGTAATAAAATGAAATTTATTACCAACTAGGTTGTAATATTTTCCTTGGGAAAAAGTATCAGTTACTAATAATGGTGTAAAAGGAATTCAATTCTTGTTGATGGGTTATGTTTATTTTTTATTTCTTTTTTTAAATGGCTAGTGACTGAAGAAGAGGGCCAAGCCCTACAGAAGGAGGAGTGGTGGTTATCTTAAATGTAGATTGCATTCCGCAGAAATTCTAAAACAGAAAAACATGTCAACTCACTTAACTTTAGCCTGCATTGGAGTTTTTAGTAATGCAAAGATAAAAAGAGTAAGAGAACATGTTGAACAAATGGAAAGATAAAAAGAGCTTTTGATAAAAACAGTAACAACGGTAGAAAGAATATAGAAAGCAAAGTTAAGCAACAAATATGTAACAATAATTAACAGTATAATAATTGTTGGTGATTATAGAATTAATTTACTTTCCTGCTGGGGGGGGGGGGTTGCTCATATGTTGGACTTTATCATTAGCAACCAAGCTCTGTGATTGTCATTCTTTCATTCTGAAGTTGTTCCATGGGGTTGGTTTAACATAGTTTACTAATGCCTAAAAGAGTATTTTTCATATAGAACCGTAGGATTTCTTCCACACTCTAAATGCAAAACTTTTCATTTCTCATTAGTCCTACAATAGTTACTTCATTCTTTTTCTCTTTTTCTCAGTGAAGACATAGTTCATTGAACTAAATACAGTCATTTATTTTTCTTCCTAGATGCATTTTAAAACACTAACTAAAAAATTCCTCCTTGGTTTTGATACCCAAAGGGAAGAAAGGTAATACATGCTTATTTCATTCATTGAAAAGCTTACTTCATATAGCCAAACCTCAAACACCCGGAATATATCTAACCCCCTTCCCCCAAAGAAAAGGAAGGGAAAAGAAAAAGGATACTGTAAATTTCTACATTTTCATCTCATGGTGATCCATGATCTGACTATTGGTGCATCTAAGATTTAGATGTTGTGTTCAGGTTTCATTGGTCATCCAGTGTTGTTTCAAATACCTAAAGGGAGTTCATTGGGTTCAGAATATTTCTTTGGACCTAAATCATATCACTCCACAAGTCTGCCCCATATTTCAATTTAGTCATATCCACTTCAAGTTCCACATTTCCACTGACTATTGGTGCATCTAAGATTTAGGTTCTATGTTCAGGTTTCATTGGTGCATTGATAACCAAAGTGTAAATATTTTCTCTGGTTTTACTTCATAATTCTACTTGCATGATTCCATTCCAGATTTTGTAGTGCATCTATGATCTGAATATAAAGTTAGAGCTACTACTGATTTTACCTCATTAATGATTTCCAAAAACATTATTTTCATACTAAACTTTTCAAAACAATGCAAGTGGCTTTCACATTTATCATTTCATTATTTTTTATTTGGTAAATAAGTAGGCATAATTTCATGGGACTTGTATGGCATACCATAATACTGGTTTCTCTTTCAAGGAGGGAGCAGTTAATACTCAAGAATAAGCGCATGGTGCATGCATATTGCATGGAAAGGGTAAACAAAGTGGATATGCATCTTAAGCAGTATGTATAATTACGCTGTGGAAATGGCTAAGAATGGACAGTTACAAAATTACAGTTGATAGCTACCTGTACTGTTCCCAACAGATTCCTGATGAAACAAGTGAAACTGACACACTGACAACTGTTTTGAGCTTGTTGTTTTTCCATGAGACGCTGTGTTGTTGCCTCTTATGCCAATTGCAGAAGTATGCAGTGAACCATTTTGTTGTGAAATGGCTGATGTAACTTCTTGGTGTTTCCCAGCAGAAATGAAATATTGGATCTGTGGAATTTCCAGAAAGCCACAACACTCACCTGCATTCCCTGATTGAGGTTTAGCTCTTTCAAAAAATTTCGTCTGCCATGAGCCATCTTGAAGAACTGTGAACTGGAAAAAATATAAGAAAAATGATAAAATACAATAATAAGACATTAGTAAACCAGGTGAACATATTTACCCATTCCTGGAGAACATAGTATATATAATTATGATAAGAAAATTATATTTTGTACCTTGCCAGAGGATATAGGGGATTCGGAACTTGATTGTCCTGATGAGTTTCGATCTGGTAGGTTTTCTTTCTGTGGGCACCAACCAAGAAAGTCTACGGAATCATACTTGTGGTCATAAAGGTCTTTAACAAACAATGCTTCCATGAAATTGAGGTACAAACTGTGCTTCTCATCTGTCCAGATGGGTTCTTCCATCTGCAAGTCCACACGTGAAATCCAGCAACGAAAAAAAAAAAATCTCAAGAAGCAAAATCACGTTGAGTTCCTATTAACAAAGTGATTAAATCTAGGCAGAACAACCTAGAAACTAATATCACCACTCGATCTGGAATAACAGAGTTTCCCATCTTATAATTCTTTTATTGTTTGAGAAACTAATCAACACCTGCACTAGTCATCTACTTTGTCAAACTTTGTCATATTAGACAGAAAGAAAGAAGCTCATCCCTCTGCTAACATAAAAGAGATTGACCGTCATGTTGATCAATATCTTTCAGAAAACCTCATTAAATGTTAGAAGCCCATCAAACTGCAAATATTCTCTATCTAAGAAGTGGTCAATTGAAACAAATATCTTCCGTCAAAAGCAACAACCTTAAGATAAATCAGAATAAGGAACTCTTCTGGAAACCGTCAAAAGCGATTCAAAACCAGCTTTAGTCAGTAAGAATGCACCATGAAAAAAAAAACAAAATGAAAATAAGGAACTCTTCTAGAAACAGTGAAGCAAATAAATTAGAACTTCAGGCATAAAGAAGATTCATCTAAGAAATCAGCTCCAGAATCATAAAAGATAAAAAACAAACAATCCATGTTCAGCCTTCTACAGAAACCCCAAAACTACACTCAGTAATAATAACCAAAAGGAACAAGAAGAAAAGGAATGAACAAAGTAAAAAAGAAAGAAAGAAAGAAATTACGGGGATCTCAACCTCGACATCTCCAAGGAAATGTCTAGAATTGCGACCGGTTAGTTCCGACAGCTCGGAGCCCGTACTACTCTCCCTCCTGTAACCCTGCATTTCTCGATCAGGCAGTCTCGTCGGTGTCGCTTGGCGGAGATTTCCTTCTATTTTTCCTCGAAGTCTAAGAAAAAACGAAGGAAAGAAAGAATAATCTTCTCTAAGTAAATAATTTGAATTTCTGCTGTGTTTCTGTTGGAGGAGAGTTTTGGAAGAGAAGAGGGAGATGAAAAAGAGTATGAAATCAAGAGAGGGAGACAGAGGACGGAATCTGGGGACGGTGCTGCTGTTGGGGACGTAAAACGTTCCACGTGGCTTCGCTTTTACACGTGTCATAAAATGAAAAGGTCGCCATGTCAGCAACTGCTATTAATATCTAATGCAACTCCACCCAGAATCCCAGCTAATAATGTTCCGGGGCGGAGGTATCGGAAAAAAAGGTAAAAGAACGATCCGATTACGTGGCTTGCACTTTACGACCATGTCCACTGCCCTTTCTTGCCAACTATGGAAAAGGATAAATACGCCAACTATGGAAATAAAGTTAACACGTGAACTAATTCTTTTAATTTCCATGGGTTCACCGTCGTCTCAGTGCCAGTGCCATATAGGCATTCGCATTTGTATGAAAACTTCTTTGGTTTCGGTGTTTATCAAATAAATATTAAAAAACATAAATGTTTGGATTTATACGAGGTATTTGAAAAAACGACAAATTCTTGTTTCTTCAAATGTCTAGATATTTTTTGAAATGAAATGGTTACGGACCCAACCAAATAATAGAAACAAAAAACATAGTTTTTCTAGTAAATGTTTTAAAGTAATAAACGACTCTTCTATAAATGCGTATGGAACCAAACACACATTGTCATCAACTATTTTTTCATATTTTAAGATAAATAAAGTGAATAAAAACAAGAAAAAAATCTATGGTGCATTGCTTCACATGCAAATATAAGATATGATTAATTGAATGTGTTGATAAATATCATAAAAGTATATTTTATAAAATGTAAATTAATATTAATTAAAAGTATACTTTGTAAAATGTAATTCAATGAAAAGTAAATAAATTTTAACATATTGATATCTGAGTCAAAGTACATCCAGTATTAATGAATATACCTAGTTAACTCGGCAAGCAAAAGTAAATTTTGATGCTTCAGCTACTGGGCTATAGTGTGGGCGGTTAGGGAAGTGATTCAAGGAATGGAATAGTTGTACTATTAGTAGGAACTCGTCCTATGCATCCGAAAATTGAAAGATTGAATAATTTTATTTACTGTTAATTAATTGTTAAATTAATAATCAAAATTTATTGTTAATTAATTAAAAGTATTTATGTTATTGTTAATATTTAAAATTTTAATAATTACATTTTTCATTTAATGTTGATTTACAAAAAATAATTATTGTTAATTTAATATGAATAAATATTTTTTAATAAATTTAATTTTATTAATCCTTTATAGTAATTTTAATAATTGTTATTATTTTCATTATTTTAAATGAAATTTTGTTTGACTTTAAATAAATAAAAATAATTACAAAAGCTAACATTTTTATTAATTTCACTAATAATTAACAATTATATAGGAATGACAACTAGGTAGGATCGAGGCAAGCCACCCCACCCTTGTCCCCGCCCCATAGTCAAGGCACACTACCCCATCTCCATCCGTTCCCAGTGCCAGGTGGGTTCAAGGTAAGGCACCTACTCCCCATTAGGGATGGGAAATTCTCAAACTTCCTCGCCTCGTCATCAGTGTCAGGAAAATTTAGGGAAAAGCATCCACTACTCATCAAGGATGGGGGATCCTTTAATTTCCCCCACCCCATCCCTAGTGTCAAGCGGGTTCAAGGCAAGGCATCCGCTCCCCATCAACCCAATATTTAGTTTGATGACAAAAATGATCAAAAGGATATACTGAGTATCAATCACATAGTAAATTCCTAAAAGTACACTAAATTTTCTTTAATTTTAAAAAATGTAATTTTATGAAAATTTGGAAAATTTATTACATTTATGCAATTTTGGAAATTTATTCAAATTTATTTTTAAATTGTTATTAAATAATTTATTTTCTTTTAAAATGGTTTACTTACAGAATTGCACTAATTTGTCTAATATTTTCTAATACAAATTAATTAGTAATTTTCTTTTTCCAATATTATACTAATTTATCTTAATAATTTGTGTAATTATTGTTTCAAATTACAATTTTCCCTTTTCCATATTCATTTATCTTTAATAACTTTCAATAATATACAATGAAAATTACATAATTTTTCAATAATCTTCCAAAATCTATCAAATATAATAAATTTTCCTAAAATTTCTAAAATATTCTAATAATTTTTAATAATTATTTAATACATTTTAAATAAACTTTCAAAAATTTTATATCTTTTAATTTCTAAAATTTTATTTTATGAAAATGTAGTTTTATGAAAAATTTATTACATTTGTGTAATTATGGAGATTTATTGAAAATCATTTTAAATTGTTATTAAAGATTTATTTTTATTAGGTAGTTTACTAACAAAATTACACTAATTTATCTTTTATTTTCCTATATAAATTAATTAATATTTTCATTTTCCAACATTATAATATTTTATTCCCCCATCTGCATTTGGTTATTAACTATAATAATAATGATAACAAAATTTTATACTTTTTGATAAATGTTAAATATAATTCTCAATTTTATAGAAATTAATTAAAGAGTTTTCAATTTCTATAAAATGTTGTTAATTAACATGAATATTACAATATTTACCCAAAATACTTCAAAAAGTCATGATGAGTTAATTAATGACAATAATTATTAATTTTTGGAAATTTACTAGCCATACTAATGAGAACATTTAATTTTTGTTAATTTATTAATTGTATTTATTAACTTTTGGTAATAACATTATTTAATACTCATTGAATATGGGTTGGATTAAATATTTACAATACTTAACTATTTATTAATTAATAAGAATATTTTAATGAGAGAGAGTGGATATAGATTGGGAGAGAATATTTAGGAATTGATTAGGGAGTGGGGTAACATGATTCGTTCCTAATGACTTAGAGGAGATACCTTAGGAGAGAGATTATAGTAATACTTTTAGGTAGTGGAGTTGAGAATGGTGACTTGGCTTAATGGGAGTGATGGGAAGGGGAGATGATAGAGAGTCAAAGGAGAATATAGGGTGGGGGTAATGGAGCAAGGAGAATATAAAACATATATTAACGTGTTGTTTGGCAAGTCTTTTTTAAAAGATCTTCTAGCAGACTTGACATCCAAAAGACGATGTGAGCTTTTGCATTAAGTTCTTAACAGCTTGAAGACCGTTTGGTTAAGGCATGTCTTTTCACACAAAAATGAGTTGAAAAAAAGGCAAAAAGCTCCATTTGGAGCTTCCTAAAATAGCCCGAAATGGCTTCCCACATCTTTTCGAAGCTACGATTTCGATGACTAGATCTTTTCTCAACCAAATGGGAAAAGAACAAAACGTAGGTTGCCAAGTGATGAGGGCGGATTTCGCCCTCCAATGACCATATGACACCTGACAGCCTCTTGACAACTAAGTGCAGCCTCTTGACAACTAGGCAGCTCGCCACAGGCAGCTCTGAAGGGATGAGAAATCCATCATATGGACGCCCAAAGCTTGCGGAATAAAGGGGGCGAATTTCAAAAATTTTTCTCTCCCTTCAACTGGGAATCGCATTCCCTATTTAGAAAATCATATTTTCAATGATTAATCTTGAACCATAGACTGAACTAGATCTGAACCAAAAGGAGTAGGAGAGAGGTATACCTAATACAGAGAAATATTATCTCTCAATGAAGGTGTTCACACCCAAGGAAGGATCCAAAGACTGCTCCCACTAAAGATGGCGCAGTGTAGGATGGAGCAGAATCAGCAGTGTTCTTCTTCAAGAACTCTGTCCTTCGCAAGAAACAACAGAATGGCACGTGAGCACAGCTTCCTATCATTCCTCTCACAAAGAACTAATGTCAAGATCGAATCTTGACTTCTCCCACAACTAGAGATCGAACTGGCAAACTTGGGTGGCAAGAACAAGGAGGCGGCAAAAAGAATTCTGCAGGGTTGCTTAATTCTTCCTTCTGTGATTTCAGCTCTGAAGAGGATGTGAGTATCTATCTAAAGGCTGCCGCCCCTTCCTTCTTTTGTAACCCTAAAGGATCAGCTCCCAATCCAATTAGGAGCTGCTGATCCAAATCTGATTTGGATCAGACATTCCTTTAGGTGATAAGGATAAACCCTTATCTTATCTGCAGATTAGATTAGCCTTCTCCTAATCTCATTACGAGGTTTCTAGATTTGAATCACATTCAGATTTTGACTCTCTTAGTGGATAGGGTTTAGACCCTATCCTATCTGCTAATCCATCTCAGAATTCGCCCATATTTAACTTATTAAATTAGTCCAGTTCGAAATGGGCTTTAGGCCCACTAAGCTTATGTGCTCACTTAGTCTTCCTATTTGCTGCCCAGTTGGGCTTCCTTGTATGGCGTGGGACCCAAGCATTGATCTACACATCAGCCACATGGGTTCGGCCCAGCCTTTGTTACAAGGCCTGGCCGAATACAC